AAAGTATTCGGTATTTTTGCATTTGCTGTATATTAGAAAAACCAAAATATCATTTAACTTACCATATTTGATATGTTAATTTGTAATTTTATATTATGCATTGCTATTTTCCGTTGTCGTCATGGATTTAAAAAGGTGATAATGATAAAATCAGGTTCAATACATTCCTCTATCCCTTTCTTCCCCACCTCTCAAGGTAACATATTGAAATTGTAAACTAATTTGACATAATGATGACGTAGACTTATTTGTATTAATAGCGCAAGTAATGGAGTTTCTTTTTCGCTTTCTGTCTCAGAAAAAAAAAGAAAAAACAGAAGTGACATACGTCAATGTGTTAATATTCAGGCTATAGCTAATGAATTTTTTATCAAATTTATTTTTGATAATTTATAATTAAATTTATTACTCAATAATAGTTATATTCCTAATAACATGAGATAAACTTATATTTGTTTTAATAGTACAAATATTTGGGGTCTATTTTATTTTTCATGGGCAAAAAAGGTGACATACGTCATTCTCATTCGTCACTCAGTTTGTACTTTTTACCACATAGCTAATGGATTTTTTATCAAATTTATTTTAATCAATTGAAAAATAAATTACTATTGTACTTATTTATTATTTATTATAATTACTGGTTAATTTGTATTAATAGGGCAAATTAAAAAAAAAAAAGGAAAAAGAAATATTCTGATTGCTACTTGTCAACTTCAACCTTAATCATTTATCGAATGAAATGATTTTTTACTACCATTTTAGAAATTCATATTATGACTTCTTTTTTTTTTTTTAAAGAAAATTCAAGTCATGCAATTATAATTTGAATAATGAAATACTGCGACATTTGCATATGATTTGATGATATTACTGCATTAATGCTAGAAATTTATGCATTTATCACAACATAGTAACTTCTTATCATCATATAAAATTCATCATTTTTTTTTTCCAAAATTTTATCACTGGAAAAATTTTGTTGCAATTTTCAAACAAGTAATATAACAAATTCCATCTTATAGAATGTTTTTAGATGAAAAAAATTTCATTTCGATGAAATATTTTCTTACTTTTTTGCTGTTCAATGCTGCTAAATGATTGTTAGTGTTTGCGCATTTCGTCTTTTTTTTTCCCATCAACTTTTTTTCTTCTGTTCAGGTATGCTACCACATATTTCATTACTTTTTTGCTTGCTTACTTCGATTTCATTTTTCTCTCTCCCTCCCCTGTGTCTTTTTTTTTTTTTTATTGGAATTTTTGAATTGTAATATTTCAAAGCGTTAGAATAGTTTTAGGTTAGCTGTTGACATATTTTCTGCTTCATTTACTGGGATTAATGAGCTTCTTTTTTTTTTTTTATTCGTTTGTTGCTCAAATTTGTTCTACGAGAAGATAGGCCTTTTGGTTTTTTTTTTTTTTTTCATGATTAATAAAAATAAGCGTGATAATTTCTTTGAAATTATCACGCTTGTCAGCTAAATCAATGATATAATGATAAATTAGGATTAATAGAAGTATTATTCTATGAAATCGTTATTGCTTTCTAGACCAATAGTTAAACAATCTGTTATATAATACTTATTCGGATACTATTAATAAATTTGTCTTACATGCAAAGATTGGCTATGTATCATTTTGTATTTAGTAATTAAACTAATTTGCGTAATTACAAGGTGGTAAAAGTTCTTATTAAATTCGATATACTTTGCGTGAATTTGAGGCTATTACTTCGGATTACTGCAACTTGATGGTCTAATGAATAGATTGATTAAGGACTGATGTGTGTATCATATAATTTGTATCAGGTTAAAGTTGATAAAAATTTGATAGTACATTTAGTATTTGTTAATCATTTAAATTCTTTCATGACGAAAAGTGGAGAATTAGAATGATAAAATTGAACCAATTTTTGTTGTACAACGAATATTTTATGCTTATCCTTCACTACCTGAATTCATAGCTACAGGTATTCATTCTAGTGCTATTTAATTAATTAGACATATTTATAATCTGATGCTTTTTCTGAGCTTTCTTAAAGCTCCATAATTTGACAACGTTTATTTTTGGTTTTCGTTCTATCTCATCCATTCTTGCTAGAATATTTCAATCAATTTTCTTATTATACAACAAAATGAATGCTATTAGTTAGAAGCTAAGAAATTATGGAAGTAACTAAGTAAAAGAGGAAGAATGAATATTATTTTATAAGTTATCTTAATCATTAGTCAACTATTTTGTTAGTTTTGACATCATCAACTAACAAGACTGATATATGTTCGTATTGACTTGTTCAAGTCAACAAAAAGAAGTTTGGGAAAGGGAAAGAGGGAGAGGAGAAGGAGAGAGGAGGTTCTGTTAAATCAGGAAAACCATGAAAACTGACTAATTTTCAAACTGGAAAAAAAGCAGTTTATCACTGAAAAGGAGAGGGAGAGGGAATGACTTGCTCTTTCAGGGATTTTCTTTTTCGTTTTTTTTTTATTTTTTGTTTTGAATGGAGGGAGAGAGCAGGAAGGACGGGGAAGCGGGAATTGTGAGGAGTAATAGATAAGATGGAAAATTTTATGTGCAAAAAAAATTGCTGGTAGTTTGTACAATTAATTTTATTGCCAAAAAGTGCGGAATAAAAAGAGTATGAATGAGAGGGAGAGGGATAAGAAGCACTTTAAAAGGAAGACGAAAATGGATTGAGGAAACGATTTGTGGAACATATATCAGCTAAATCAAGCATATTAAGCCAGCTGATCGTCTAGCCAGCATAGGATGATGATGTCCGCAAGTAAGTAAGCACTGTTGATTCCAGCATTCCATTTATATCAAAAATTGAAATAGAAATTAGCTAAACGATGGTAAATGATGAGTAGTAGTAATTGTTATTGTTGCTGCTGTTGTTATTATTGTAGTAGTATTAGCAGTTGCCGTAGCTGTAGTTGTGTGTGTGGATGTGTGTGTGTGCATGTGCGTGTATGTGCATGTGCGTGTATGTATGTGTGTGTATGTATGTGTGTGTATGTATGTGTGTGTATGTATGTGTGTGTGTGTGTATGTATGTATGTATGTGTGTGTGTTTCAGGTGAGAGGGATGCGGAAAGGGGAGAGGAGGAGGGGATGAGCGATACGACAAGGGACATTGCAAAACAACGGAAGGGTAAAGGAGGATCGACCCGAAGAATGGGTAACAGGATGGACAAGCGATATGAGGAAAATGCACAGAAAACGACCAAAAAGGCTTAATTGATTTTTCTAATCTGTTTAAGCTTAAAAGCTCTTATGACGGCTGCTCAAGCAAAATCTGCCTTAGTTTTGCCGTTCATGTCTCACTGCCCCATTCCACCCCCTCACCACCCCCTTATCATCCACCCACTCACGACCCCTCCTCCTCCTTCTTCCATTTCGTTCAACCGTTTGGTTTGATCCATTCATTGATCCTGGAAAGTATTATGTTGGTTATTATTATCAAATAGTTTAGTCATAATCTCGTCATATTTGTTTGGTATGTCAGTTTAATTATTCTGTAAGTTAATTATATCACACGTCCACACATATTATATATATATATATATATATATATATATACATGCATTATT